TATTATATATCAGAGTTGTATTAATATAGCAGAGTTATATCAGTAAATTATTTCTGCGGAAGTGTATGTTTCGCATTGATTTAAAAACAGTTTAATATAATAATTACGTATTTTTCTCACCTAATTATAACCTAAACTATTTTGGAACTCACTATAATATAAACTTTAGAACTCCGTTTATTAAGTAACCTTTGTAATCATAGATAAGACGAGCAAGTAAGGACATTAATTAAACTATAATATATACTTTAGAACTCCGCTGATTAAGTAACTTTTGTAATCATAGATAAGACGAGCAAGTAAGGACATTAATCCAACTATGGACATTATGTCACGGTATTATTAATTTTTTGTTAATATAGTTGGCGTAATTAATTTGTAGGATCGATAGTGATAGTCTGATACATGGTTCGATACAACGAATCACGTATAAAAATACTCATCACATTAACAAAACAATTGAGACATACTAATGTTACTTTTTTCTGATCTAAATTTAGTAGTTAGGTTGTGTTTGATATGAAAATTCAGTAAGGTTAATAATGCAACCATTGTTTCTAACTCTAATCAGTTTCAAAAGACTATACGCTAGTATGTTTTCTTTCAATACACGTCTTATAAACTATTGGCAAGGCCCATCATGAACCTGGACACAAACTGAGGTATAGATTCGTAGTTAAGTATTTGTCGTTGTGTTATGAAAGTGAAACCATCAACCTACCAATCTCATATCATGATAAATTTGAATAGCTGATTCAAATAATTGGACAAACACATTATTCTATATTTTATATTTTCTTTCTTTATAATTGTTTATATGATGATCCAATCAAAGTGTAATACGTATGGGGAGAGAATCTTTTGTCAATGTCGATTTGTCTATTCTCATTGCATCTTATTTTTGTTTTTTTTATCAATGACATGAACATTTTCATATTTGATATTATGTTTTCGTTTTGTTTGTATTTAAAACCATAGTTATAAGTTTTACATTGTTTGTATTTTTACACAAAACAGCCAAACCTGTGATATTGATATATGAAGACCATAATATATCTAAAAAGTTCAGTGTTACATACAAAGGCAAGTTATATATATGCTCGAATTGCTATGAACTATCTACCATCCACGAGAGAGCCCGAAGAAACCTCCGAAAATGTCGAAAATGTGTTCGAGCTCGAGGCTATGTCCGATGAAACATAACCTACAACATTCGATCTACTATCATCTCTCAAAGAATCAGAGAATCCTAAATTTCCATTAATCTGTGGAACATCCTCGTCCCCGTTCAAATATCGAAGCACGATTCTCATCGTTGGTCGAGCCATTGGCTTCTGATGGCAACAGAGTAACCCCACAGCGAGAGCTAATTTAGCCTCTCTGCCATTGAAACTAGAACCGAGTTTCGGATCAACAGCTCGAAGGATTCCACCATTTGTGTGAAAGTCCATAACCCAATCAGCTAAGAAGAAGTTCTCTGTATCGGTTGGTCTTTTACCAGACACGATTTCTAACAACAAAACGCCAAACGCGAAAACGTCAGACGCGGTCGAGCCTTTACCGTTGCGTGTTAGCTCAGGTGCCATGTATCCTAACGTCCCAACGACTTTCGTGGTCTGCGTTAGCGTTCCACGTTCATAAAGCCTCGCGAGTCCGAAATCGCCTAATTTCGCACTCATATCCGCATCCACAAGAACATTGCTCGCTTTCACGTCTCTATGAATCACAATCTGTTCCCATTCTTCATGGAGATACAAAAGTCCCGACGCGATTCCCTTGATGATCTCAAAACGCACGTCCCACGGCAAAACGGCGCCGTTTCTTCTCGGTGTTTCGTACAATAGCGAGTCAAGGCTTCCATTTGGGATATAATCGTAAATCAACAAGAGGTCGTTCTTGTGTTTGCACCATCCTTGAAGGTTCACGAGGTTCTTATGACCTAATCTTCCTAAACTCTCGATCTCTGCGACAAATTCTCGAACACCTTGTAAGCTATGTGGAGTTATCTTCTTCACTGCGATTGGACCTGAAGAAGGCAAATTTCCTCTGTAAACGATTCCAAATCCTCCAAAACCAATGATCTCACTCGCTTTGAATTTCTCTGTTGCTAAGTAGAGATCTCTGTAACTGAATCTACGTGGATAATCGAGTTCCCAATCCTCTAAAACCTCTCCTTCTTGAACTTGCCTCTTGTAAATCACGAATATAAAAAGCAGCACAAGCAAGAACAATGTAACGATCGATAAAGACACAATCAAAGCGATGACTTGAGAATCGTAACCTTTCTTGTTACTCAAGCTTGTATTCTTCGGAGGACGGGGAAGCTCCGAGAGATCGAGCAAATCCGCAATTGGGTTTTCTCCACAGACAGCAAAACTCCAACCCATTACATAATGAGCACTTGACTGACCTTTACCAGTCGCGGCAGTGAATCCGACATACATTTGATCCTCAACGATCTCCGACAACTTGGGAACTCGTTGTGAAAGCAGAGGCTTCTTTGGTTTATACCTTAACCGCGTCGGATATATGGTTATGTTTAAGGTTTCGCTTGGACCGTCGTAATCGAAAAGAGCTCGGATTGGTTTGCCGCTCTCGAGCTGGAAATCTTCTTTACGATCCTCCGTATCGAAATAAATGAGTGGCTCTTGTACATCGGAAGAGAGATTGTTGAAATTCAGACCGATGTGGTTTCCTCTTCTGTCGTCTCCGTCTTTAAATCCTTGTACCGTGTCGAATTCCACGGCGAACACGTGATTCGACGGATCTCCGTTGTTGGATCTGTTCAAAAGCCCCAAATACTGTGCGGATTCTGCTCCGGGACGATTCGGGGTCGGAGAAAGTGTGAATGTGAAGCCAAAACCGCCGTTTCCAGGACTTGAAGGGATTATAACGAAGACGAAAGAAGTGCTAAAGGAACATACTTTGTTGTTGTTGTTGTCACGAAATCTAATCGGTTTGCGGTAAAAAGCTGTTCCAGTGACGTTGTGGTCCCGATTGGTTAGTCTCAGTAGATCATCGTTGTGTTCGATCACTGATTCTCCTCCCGTTTGGATTTCGGTTTGGTTTCCTTTGAAACCTCGGAAAGTGAATTTTGTTGTCGTGGTCTTAGCAAGAACAGAGCTTTTAAAAGTGTTTGATGATAAGAAAAGCAAGAACATGAGTGTTCTTATGAATCTTGCTATGCCCATTGAGTATTTTGAATTGCTGGTATGAGAAGTAAGAGATCATTAAGTTTTAAAGGATATTTCATGTATGGACTCTTGTGCTCTAAATGTCGGAATTGCGGTAAGAGGAAGGAAGTAGTAGGAATGTTCAAAAGTCAAAGTCTTGTGGACCCATTTGTGTGGTCTGTTATATCGAACCATTTGTGTGGAGGAGATAGACGACGTTCAAAACAAATTTCATGACAAAACGAAATCATTAAAGACAAAATATAATACGCGGTTATTGACTTATGATGAAGTCAAAGATACCGTTAAATATGAGTCGTATTGGTCACAAATTTTATTAGCCCATTATGGAAAATTGGGCTTGGCCCATACTCTCTTTTATTTTCCCACGTCC